CCCCGAACCACGGTCAACGACGTGGGAGTCCAGCAACACAGCCATTATGCTAACTGCTGGTCCCGAGCTGCAATTTTAGCAAAGAGGATAAAGGCCTGTGAGTTAAAGACCTTGTTGAGAAGTGTCTTGAGAGGTGAAATGCTTACTAGAAAGTAGGTTAAGAATTTGTCTAGGGGGACCTAGCAGTTGGTGTAATGTCTATGTCGTTGAACTCCCATGTAGTCGACCATGGTTCGAGTCCCAGACCTGGTGGCTTAAACTCACGCTGGGCGTGTGTGCTTGTGTGCCCAAGATCCCAAGAGGAGAATATGGGGGAGAAGCCATTGTGGCCTGGCCATCCCCCCTGGGGAGTGATTTCTCGCTTTCTGTCTCTCTCTGTCTATCTGCCAAACACATGTGCCCTATAGCAAAAACTTCAACAAAAAAAAAAAAAGGAATTTGTCTCGGGGTGGTAACATACCTAAAGCATGAAGCATGGAGATTTTAGTCCTTCAGTAGGAAGAATTTACCAGTTGATCCATTGCTGTTGGAGTTTGTGGGGCTTTTCAGAGGAAAGGCGGGCATGGCGAAGGACCACGCAGCGACCAAGGCAGTGCAGGATGGAGGGGAGTGTTAGGGCTGTGTGGAGCAGAGACACTGGAGACATCGGTGCTCCCAGGCTGCGGGTAGTCACGTGTGTTGAACGGAAACACATAGCTGGCCTGAGAGTGGGGTGGACCCACGTAGGAGGCTAGGCAGAGTGAGTCCAGTTCCGCCATTGGCTGATGGCTCTGGCCCAGTGTAGAGCCCAGGAGCTTTAGTGAGGCCAGTCCTGAAGCTACAGGGTGAGCCCCGGGAATGGAGGCCTGCAGAGGCTACAAACTTCCAGGCGGGGGCTGGACCAGGAGGTGAGGGCAATGGTTTTCCTCTCCAGAACAGTTTCAGTCCCTTGTGACTGAATAATGGAAATACCTTGTTCCTAATAACAGAAATACCTGAGTCTGGGCCATTTATAAAGAAAGCAGTTTAGGGGCTAGCAGGTAGCGTGGTAGTTAAAGCGTTGGACATGCCCATACAGCTGACCATGGTTCGAGTCATGGACCTGGTGGCTTGCATTCTCACTTTCCCTCTCTCTCTGTATCTCTCTCTGGTCAGATGAAAATGAATGAATAAATACAATTAAATAAGTAATTCTTTAAAGAAAAAAAAGAACCGAGGACTATTTAGCTCACAATTCGGGAGGTCCATGGTCAAGGGGCCACAGGGGTGAGGTCGGACTTGGTGGAGGGAGCTCTCTGCAGGGTCCCGAGGCAGAGCAGGGAGTCCCAGGACAAGAGCCTGCACGTATGTATCTGTCGGTGTCTGTCCTACAAAGCCACCAGGATTCGATTACGGGCGCTGCTCTGTTGACCTCATCTAATCCTAATCACTCCTGAAAACTACCCCTAATCCCATAGTCAGATCGCCTCCTCCCTCTTAACTGCTGTTTCAAACAAGTTTCACAGTGTGGATCTGGGGTGGGGATGTATTCAAATCATAGTGCCTGCCCACCTTTACACTTCAGGGTGGTGAGTGTGTGAGGAGGGTGCGTGTGTGCGTGTGTGAGGAGGGGAAGCCGTGAGGAGGAGGAGCGGTCACCAAACATGAAGGTCTACTCCACCCTGAACCTGCACGGTAATACATGAGTTCTCATCGAGGTCTTCCGTGAGAGTCACTCAGACGTGCGTGGTTTCTCTGTGAGGGTCACACACGTCCACATGTGAGTGCTTCATTAAACCACACCCGGAGCATCTAGCTACACACCCCGTGTAAACGTGCACACACCCAGGCGTGGGAACGTTCTCCCTCTCCACTCAGCCCTGCAGGTGTGCGCGCTGTCCTTGCAGCTCTCACACAGGTACAGCCAGGTCGGTCACCTCTCAGTACTGCACGGAGGTCAGGCAGCTGCCCCACGGCCACGACCCTGCTTGTCCTGCAGCAGTGCCACACCCCCTCCGCATAAACCACGGCGAGCACGGCTCATCGCGCCCCTTACCAGGGCTGCCCCAGCAAAGGCGGGACGTCCAGTTAAGCCTGACTCCCAATAAATCATGAGTGATTTTTAAGTATGAGTGCTCCGCAAAGGACTCAGATATTGCATGGGACTTGTTTATACTAAAAATTATCTGTGAGTCGTCTGAAATTCCAGCTGACCTGTGCACCAGGTATTTGTGCTTACTTAGATGGGTGGCCCTGACGTGTGCACGCCGTCGAGAAGTCACATCGTTAAGTATTTCTGCTCAGCGTGTGTCTTTCCTTATAGAATGGAAGATTCAATGAGAAAAGGGACTTCATTTTTTTTCTCAATATTCTCAGAACCTAGACTAGTGGAATAATTTCTAACACGTAGTAGTTCTTCATGAGTGAATGGATGCACACTGTAAATGCATGCTACACCCTACCGTCAGGGCAGGTTGCACGCTGCACAGTTCCTGAGCTGGAACGTACACCCTGCACACGAACTCCGCATAAAGTCAGGCACACACTTCCACCATAGTCACCACGTGGGGCGCACACTTCCCCAGCTGCCCGACACTCATCTCTTACACTACTGGCACAGTCACTGTCACCACCAGGCCTGCGTTTCTAAGAATACACAGAACGACCACTAACCGTAATGAAATGCTGGAGAGTCTACGGGAGCCAGACTCGACGTCTCGCATTCTCACCACACCTGACGTGTCAGAGGGCAGACACGTGTTAGATGGGTGGACGATGCCCAGGCGTGCCCAGACCACTGTACTTCTGTGCCCTTCTACCTTTCACAGGACTCTCAAAGTTGCAAGACGGTGCCCCTCAGCCGGAATCCACTGGAGTGGCCGGAGGCTGGTGCCTGGGCGTTGGGGAGGTCTCCTCTGCCTCCGAGTACTTCTCCTGCGTTTCTTCTCCACGCAAGCTCACCCACGGTGGTAAGGACGCGGGGCCCTGGGTCTGGGGCGGGGGCTGTATAGGCCAAGCATGAACCCGAGAGGGAGCCCAGGGCAGTCAGAGGTGGCCAGGGCTCTGCAGAGAGGTGTGGGTGTGGCTAAGAGCCCAGCATGGGAGAACGTGACATGCCATGGCAGTGGGCAGCCAGGGAGCAGGGCCAGGGGGTTTTCATGTGTGTGCAAAGACAGGGGATTAGGTTAAGGACCTCTGGGAGGACTTTGTGGGCTCTGCCGGTGCCTGGTCGACAAGCACAGAGATGCTCAGCACAGTCTCCAGGACCAGCAGGACCACCTGGCCCAGACCACACGCCCACACAGACGGCCACACCTCACACGGACACGGCCTGCGCGAACTCACACACCTGGCCCACACGCCCACACAGACGGCCACACTTCACACGGACATGGCCTGAGCACTCACACACCTGGCCCACACGCCCACACAGACGGCCACACTTCACACGGACACAGCCTGAGTGCTCACACACGTGACCCACATACCCACACAGACGGCCACACCTCACACGGACATGGCCTGAGCGCTCACACACCTGACCCACACACCCACACAGATGGCCACACTTCACACAGACACGGCGTGAGCGAACTCACGTATGACCCACACACCCACACAGATGGCCACACTTCACATGGCCACGGCCTGAGTGCCCACACACATGGCCCACACGCTGTTCTTTTGCACTGGCTCCCACATTTTACACAAAGCCCCAGCTCACACCGTCTAGCCCACACCGGCCACCATGCGTGCCACACGTCTCCTGCTCCTGCATCCACACTCCACACCCCATAGGCAGACGCCACGCCACCGTCCTGACATACAGGAACCATATCAGACACGCTGTCCCGCGACGTGCAGGGAAATGCCCGCCCGTCACTCTGCTCGTCACCCGCAGTCCCTCTCTTCTGTGACACTCGGCACACGCCCCCTCAGCCGCCAGCCGGCCGTGTGCTTGATCTCAATCTCCACTTTCCTTTCCCAGGAATCCGGAGACTACACGGAGACAGTCCCCAGCCTCGGTCGCCCCTAGCCCAGGGTCGAGAAGGAAGAGAGACCCTGCTCCGCCCTCAGCCTGTCCCCTTCTCATCCCGCTCATCCTACAAGACCTGTGTGTCCTCTCTGTGCATAGTCAGAGAGGACAAGGGCATGAAAATTTACTACATGCAGGTCCAGATGAGAAAAGGTGTGGCCGTCTCCTGGGAGACGGAGGCCTCGGAGTCCCTAGAAAAGCAGCCGAAGATGGAAGAAGCGACCCTCCTCGAGGACCTGCGAGCCGGCACGCCCCCCTCCGACGTGTCCACCAGAAACCTCCTGTCCGACAGCGAGCCCAGCGGGGAGGAGAAGGAGCCAGAGGAGAAGGCAGAGCCAGACAGCCCACCGGGGTCACCTGTGGCCGAGGAGAGGCCCCGGGCCAAGACTCCAGACTGGCTGGTGACCATGGACAGTGGCTTCCGGTGCTTGGCCTGCTGCCGCGTCTTCCCCACGGTGGACGCGCTCCGGGAGCACGTGCAGTATGGGGTCAGGGAGGGCTTCAGCTGCCACGTCTTCCACCTGGCCATGGCCCAGCTGCTGGGCAGCGTGGAGGCAGAGAGCACCCAGGAGGAGGACGACCACCACCATGAGGAGGAGGACGACCACCACCATGAGGAGGAGGACGACCACCACCATGAGGAGGCGGACGAGAAGCCAGCAGAGGAC